ATGTTTGGAATAATTATTCTATAATTAAATACATCTGTAGAATACTTTATAACATAGTTATAATATCATTAAATAGATGTGATAAGGGGGCAATTCTAATACTTCACACCAGCAGAAATGTTAATAATTTCCTTTGGTCACGTCTAGGTAGGAGTGTGCTGTTAAATGTTTACCAACTGGCTTTCCACGCAAAAAAGTATGCATGACAGCCTTTTAAGTTTAATATGCCTTATCAATATTTTCTCCACTTTCTGAAGTCTCGACAATCAACAAAACAATAAATTAAGCCATAATTTGTAGCACTGTTGATTTCCAAGGCATAAATTGCTCATGCTGAAAATTTAACAGTTGGCTCTTCTGAGCTGGTAAGAGCTGCTTCCAGCACACCCCTATATCCAGGGAAGCAACCCTTATGGAGATGGGACCTGGTAAGCCCCTCTGCAGGTGCTATGTCCATTGCCCTGTCAACTGCCCCTGCTACTAAAAGATCCAGAAAAGAAAGTTCTTGCCACTAATATCTTTGGCACTGTTAAGTAGTGGATATGGTTTTAATTGTTGAAATGACTCTTAAGAAGACATGTTACCTTCTGATTTGTTGTTGTACCCTAAGACTCAGTGGTCCTTAGGGTATTTGCAGTTGAAATTTCCTATATGTGTTGCCTTCCCCCATTAGAATGTAAGTTCTGTGAGAGATGGGACTGTCTTAGATTTTCTATTTGTGTCCCAAATACTTAGCACAATGCTTGACACATAGTAAGTGCTTAATGAATACTTTTCAATTGACTAATTACTATAAGTGATGAATAAGGGAGAAAATAAAATCTCTTTCTAATTTATGTCTGACCGTTACTCTTTCATTCAATGACTTTCCATGGCTCCCTATTCCTTTATAATGAAGTACCAATCCTCAACCTGGTTTTTAAAGCTCTCTGGGATATAGCTCCAACCTTCCTTTCTAGTTGTATTTCACATTCTATATTTGAGACAAATTGGATGACCAGCCTTTCTCAGGTCTTATCCTTTGTCACCTCCCTCCCCAGTCTCCATGTATTTGTGAATTTCTTGAGGACAAGAGACTAGGTCATTTTCCTATTTGCTTCCCCAGTGCCTTGAACAAAGAAGGTGAATTATAAAAATTTGCCAACTTGAAATGGAATTCCTTCATAAGATATTGCTGTATGGTAAAATTTTCTCAAAACATTATAAAGACAGGCATCAACAGTAACTTTGCTACAGGATGATTGGGACCCTTGTCATAATCCCAGAGCAGAAAAGAGTGCTTTCAGATGCTCACAGACCAGAACACAGAGAGAGTAGTAAACTCCTCTCCTTAGATCATACCATCTTGGAAGAACTGAAAACTTAGAGGTCCCTAGAAATATCTCTGAAAACAGTTGCACAAAATCCCTGAAGTTTGGCATACTGTATTCTCCACCCTGGAAGCAGAGCCCTACTTTGACAAAGAGCTAAAAGTCAAGAAATAAACTGGAAAATGAGAAAACAAAAATTTCAGAAAAAATTCTGACCATAGAAAGTTACTAGGGTGACAAGGATCAAAACACACCCTCAGAGGAAGATAAGGAAGTCAAAGCTCCAACATCTAAAGCCTCCAAGAAAATTATGAATTGGTCTCAGGCCATGGAAGAGCTCAAAAAGGATTTTTAAAATCAAGTAAGAGAGGCAGAAGAAAAATTGGGAAGAGAAATGAGAGTGATGCAAGAGAATCATGAAAAAGGAATCAATAGTTTGGTAAAGAAGACACAAAAATACTGAAGAAAATAACACCTTAAAAAACAGACTAGACCAAATGGTAAAAAAAAGACAAAAAAACCAATGAGGAGAAAAATGCCTTGAAAAGCAGAGTTAGTAAAATGGAAAAAAGAGGCACAAAAATTCACTGAAGAAAAAAAAAACTCCTTAAAAAGTATAATTGGCCAAGTTGAAAAGGAGGTACAAAAGCTTACTGAAGAAAATAATTCCCTAAAAATTAGAATTGAGCAAATTGAGCTAATGACTTTATGAGAAATCAAGAAATAATAAAACAAAACCAAAAAATTAAAAAAAATAGAAGACAATGTGAAATATCTCACTGGAAAAACAACTGACCTGGAAAATAGATCCAGGAGAGATCATTTAAAAATTATTAGAGTACCTGAAAGCTATGATAAAAAAAAAGAGCCTAGATATTATCTTTCAAGAAATTATCACGGAAAGCCGCCCTGAAATTCTAGAACTAGAGGGTAAAATAGAAATAGAAAGAATCCACCGATCACCTCCTGAAAGAAATCTCCAAATGAAAACTCCAAGGAATATTATAGACAAATTCCAGAGCTCTCAGATCAAGGAGAGAATACTGCAGGTAGCCAGAAGGAAACAATTCAAGTATCCTGAAGCCATAGTCATGATAATACAAGATTTAGCAGCTTCTACATGCAAAGATCAGAGGGTTTAGAATATGGTATTCTGGAGGGCAAAGGAGATTACAACCAAGAATCACCTATCCAGCAAAACTGAATACAATCCTTTAGGGGAAAAAATGGATATTTAATTAAATAGAGGATTTTTCAAGCATTCTTGATGAAAAGACCAGAGCTGAATAGAAAATTTGACTTTGAAATACAAGACTCAAGAGAAGCATAAAAAGGTAAACAGGAAAGGGAATTTAATAAAGGAATAATAAATAATTAATAAATAATAAATAATTAAATAAAGGAATTTAATAAGGTTTAACTGTTTACATTCCTACATAGGAAGATGATACTTGTAACTCATAAAAACTTTGTCATTATTAGGGCAGTTAGGAGTATATATAGACAGAGTACAAAAGTGTGAGTTGAATATGAAAGAATGATATATATATTTAAAAAATTAAGGGGTGAGAAAGAAGAATGAACTGGAAGAAAGGGAAAGGGAGGGGTAGAATGGGGTAAATTATCTCACATAAAAGAGGCAATTAAAAAGCTTTTTTAGTGGAGGGGAAGATGTGGGAGGTGGGGGGTAGTGAATGAACCTTACTCTCATTAGAATTGGCTCGAAGAAATAATAATATACACACTCAATTGGGTATAGAAATCTGTCTTACTCTAAAGGAAAGTAGGAGGGGGGAGGGGTTAAAAGAAGGGGGAAAGTGATAGAAGGGAGATTGGGGGAGGTGGTAGTCAAAAGCAGAACACTTTCGAGGAAGGACAGGGTGATAGGAGAGAGTGAATAGAATAAACAAGGGGGTGGGAAATAGGATGGAGGGAAATACATTTAGCAATCATAACTGTGAAAAAAATCTGAAGCAAGTTTCTCTGATAAAGGCCTTATTTCTCAAATATAGAGAACTGAATCAAATTTATAAAAATAGGATCCATTCCTCAACCAACAAATGTCAAGAGATATGAACAGTTTTCAGATGAAGTCATCAAAGCTATCTATATGTGAAGGTGTTCTAAATAGCTATTGATTAGAGAAATGCAAATCGAAACAATTCTGAGATACTACTTCGTACCTATTATGTAGGCTAATAGAAAAGAAAAGGAGAATGACAAATGTTGAAGGGGATATGGGAAAAAAATGAGACATTAATGCACTGTCTGCGGAGTTGTAAACTGATTCAACCATTCTTTAGAGCAATTTGGAACTATGCCCAAAGGGCTATAAAACCCTGCATACCCTTTGACCCAGCAGTGCCACTATTGGGTCTGTATCCCAAAAGAGGTAAAAAAAACAAAAAAGGAAAAGGACCTATATGCACAAAAATATTCATAGCAGCTCTTTTCTGAGGGCATAGAATAGGAAATTGAGGTAATATCCATCAATTAGGGAATAGCTGAACAAATTGTGGTATGTGATTGTGATGGAATGCTATTGTGCTATAAGAAATAATGAGCAGACTGGGAAATAAGATACACAAGCAATGGGATATAGAAATCTATCTTACCCTATAGGAAAATAGAAAGGGAAGGGGATAGGAGAAGGAGGGGGTGATAGGAGGGAGGGCAGATTAGGGGAAGGGTAATCGGAATGCATGCTGTCTTGGGGTGGGGGGAGGGGAGAGATGGGGAGAAAATTTGGAACTCAAAAAGTTGTGGAAGTGAATGTTGAAAATTAAAAAATAAATAAATAAAAGAACAAAAGAAATGATGATCAGGATGCTCCCAGAAAAACCTGGAAAGACTTAGATGAGCTGATGCAAAGTGAAACGTACCTTGTACAAAGTAACAGCAATATTGTAAGATGATCAGCTGTGAATGACTTAGCTATTCTCAGCACTACAACTATCCTAGACAACTCTGAAGGACTTATGATAAAAGATGCTATCTGTCCCCAGACAAGAAACTGATGGTGTCTGAATACAGATTGAAGCATCCTTTATTTACTTGGTTTATTTTTCTTGAGTTTTTTTATTTTTTTGGTCTACTTTTTTTTTTCACAATATGACTAACATGGAAATGTTTTGCATGACTACACATGCATAACCTGTATTGAATTGCTTGCCTTCTCAGTGAGGGGGATTGGGGAGGGAGGAAGGGAGAGAATTTGGAACTCAAAGTTTTAAAAACGAATATTAAAAATTGTTTTTACATATAATTGGGGAAAATAAAATACTAAATAGTTTTTTTTAAAAGAGCATCAAATAGAAATTGGTGACTGTGCAGTAAAATGGAGTTAGCACTGACCCTACAACAGAAGGCCTGAGTTCAATTCCTATTTCTGTCATTGATTAATTGTATGACCGTGGGCAAATCAGTTAAAATCCCTGGGCCACAGTTTCTTCATTTGCAGAATGAGGAAGGGCAAGTGAGGAAGGCACTCTGGAGGGGGTGAGCAGGGGCTTCCTAGAGAAGATGGCTCTTAAGCGCATACAAAGGCACATACAAAGGCACAGTCCTTGCCCTTATGGAATTGATGGTTAAGTACCAATGAGACCATGTCTGTGAGCCCATTTGAAAAAACATATGTAAAAGACTTTAAAACGTAATTAAAAATATTCTCATTTTGAAAAATGAACTCACTCATGAGTTAGTCCCTTCTCCTCCAGGAAATGTTCAACTTCGTCAACTTGGTGAGCTTTAACACGGAAGTCAGTCTTGCTTTCTGGTCTGATTTGCGAGACTGAATCTGGTTTCCAGAAATCGACCTGAAAAAAGGGTCAAAATACAGAAAATGTGCTGAAGATGCCAAATATGTGGCTAGAGCTGTTTTAATCTGTGATGATCAGTCCTATGTTGGGTGATAGAATAAGTATTAGTGAACAGTTTGCCAGGGCTACCAAAAAAATAAATGCAATTCAAATTCCATTTCTAAAATGAGGGAACTAAATGTCTTCCCATTTTCTGTATTCATTGGCCATTGTTGAGTTCTGGTTACCTTAGGATTTTCTATCTGACTTGTAGCTGGAACCTTCCATATGTGTTACCTCCCTCATTCAAAGGTGGTCTCTTTGAGAGCAGAGACTGTCTTACTTTTCTCTTGGTATGCCTGGTGCTGAGTATAGGAAGCACATAGTAAGTGTTTAATAAATGTTTCATTCATTTATTCATTTCTATTTTTAAAGGAACATTGCAAAATTGGAGCACATATAAATGACAGCGAACAGAAAAGTGAAGGAAGATTTTGGGGATCATGTCATGAGTAATTAATTACTTAAGGAGCAGATGATGCATATTCAACCATCTATTAGACATCATGAAGTGGATGTCCTGAAGATATGATAAAATGCGATAAAAATTCCAAAATTGAGCTAATTTTTTCTCTTAAGTCCTCTGCCTTCCAGTTTTTCTTATTACTATTAAGGGCACCATCATTTTTCCAGTCCCCATGGCAGGCAAACCTAGATGTTATTCTTTATTCCTTTTGCTCGACCCCCAATCTGTTGCTGAGGCCCATTGATTTCACCTTTGCCACATCTCTTGAATATGCCTCTTCCTTCTTTGATACTGCCAACACCCTAGTGCAGGCCTTTATCTCTTCATGTCCAGACTATTGCAATAGTCTACTAGGTGTGTCTCCCCACTCCAGTCCGTCCTCCATTCAGCTGCCAAAGTAATTTTTCCTAAAGCTAAGGTCTGACCATGTCATCCCTCTCCTTCCCATCTCTGCCCCTATTCAATAAACACCACAGGCTCCCTATTAACTTCAGGATCAAATAAAGACTCCTTTATTTGGTATTCAAAGCCCTTCATAACCTAGCCCCCTGCACACTCCACCTTTCCAGTCTTCTTACACTTTGCACCCCATCATGTACTCTCTAATCCAGTAACATTGGCTCCTTGAACAAGGCACTCCAGCCATTTTCACTGACTGTTCCCTTTGTCTTGGAATGTGCTTACTCCTCATCCTTTCCTTGCCTTCCCTAGCTTCCTTCAACTCCCAGCTACAATCCCACCTTCCATGGGAAACACCCAATCCTTCTTAATTCTAATATCTTTCCTCTATTAATTTCATGTTTCTGCTGCATATAGCTTGTTTTTATACAGTTGTTAGCTACTTGTCTCCCCCATTAGATTGTGACCTATTCAAGAGCAGGAATTGTCTGCCTTTTTTGGTATTCCTAGTGTTTAGCACAGTGCCTGGAACATAGTAGGTGCTAAATTTAACTGACTAATTAGGTTTAGTCTTCAGAAGAGAAGACTGAGGAGGAGATGAACATAAGATCACAGATTTAGCGCTAGAAAGTAACTCAAAGATACTTTAATCCAGACCCCTTGTTTTACAGATGAGGAAACTGAGGCCCAGAGAAGTTAAGTAACTTCCTCAGGATGAGACCTGGCTTCAAATATTTGGAAGAGCTATCGAATGGAAAGAACATTGAATTTATTCTGTGTAGTTGGATAAGGTAGAGCTAGGACTAATGGATAAAAAGAAAAGGTAGCTAATTTCAATTCTTTGTAAGGAAGGACTCTCCTACAATTAGAGCTTTTCAAAAATTTATTTAATTCTATGGAAGAGTGAGCCCCTCATTTTTGGAAGTATGCAAGTAGAGGCTGGATAACCATTGGTCAGGAATCTTGCAGAGAAGATCCAAGCTTTGGATGAGATGTGAGAATTAACGAGTTCTAGGTTCCCCTCCAAATCTATGTTTCCATCGTTTTAATGTTCCCATTACTTTGCTCTAACCCATATCGAGTCAGATTAATCAACCAATAGATCAACCAAAAAACATTTATGAGGTACTTATCATGTGATTGGCATTGTGGTGGACAACAGGGATAGAGATACAAAAGATACAATTCTTGCCCCAGAGGAGCTTGTATTCCATGGAAACTTAATTCTATAATGTAACAGAAGATAATGAATGTGTCAGTGAGTAGAGAAAGCCCTGGAATTGGTGACAGGAAAACTTGAATTCAAATCCTGCTTCAGGTATTAGCTGCCTGAATCTGGGAAAGTCATTTGATCTCATTCAACCTCAGTTTCCTGATCTGTAAAATGGAGGCAATGATAGAATCTACCTCACAAGATTAGTGTGGGAATCAAATGAGATAATGTATGTCAAGTCATTTGTAAATCTTAAAATACTATATAAATCCTAGCTATTACTATTATCACCCTAGATCAAGCCCCATGACCCGGGCATGATGTGCCCCTATCAGGCACAAAGTTCTAGTAACAAATCATTTTAAAGGCAGAATAGAAACAATTTTTACTTTGAAGCCACATTGAAGAACTGCTGGAATATTTTGAGTTGGGTATTCATCAGAAAGGGGCACAGTGACAGCCCTTTGGGGATTTGTACTGTACCACCTTATGTTCTGTTACAGACCCATGGTACCATCAATATAATTAAAAATGTCAGTTCCCATTCCATGGAAGATGCTTCAAAAAAAGAAAAACTAGCACAGGAATTTGGGCAACAGCAAAGGGAAGTATTGAAAACCCCCTCCCTGTGGTTGTTTTGTCTCCTTTTGTGTCTTTCAGAGTGGGCCCAAAACAAGGCCATACAGTTTGCTTTGGGATGAAAGAAATTCAGAGACAAGCGATGACACACGGCACGTGAAGCTCAAGTTGAAGCTGGCCAGAAGCCCAGGTTGTATTCCAGGTGACTTCGAAGCAGATCGTTTTGCTCCTTTGAGGGAGAAGGTCAGTTATTTTGCATTAAAAATCTCCCATGGTTGTCACCAATTCTGAAGCAGGTTGACAGCCTCTGTCAACTGTTTTAAAGTTTACTGAAAATCTGTTTTGTTCTGGCAACTAATGAGAGGCTGTATGGATCAGTAGAGAGAGGGCTGGCCTTTGGAGTCAAGAGAACTCAGACTACCTCTGCCGCGCTGGCTGTCTGATCATAGCCTAGCCATACAATGTCTCCACATCCCAGGCTTCACTCTAAGACTCTAAGTTAAAGACAGTTCTTGGTCTGCATCAGATGAAGGGAATGTCCGTTTGAAGGATAAAATCACATGCCAGGACCAAAACTGCCCTAGTTTAATAATGGCAACAGATAAAATGCAATGGCTGTGTTACCAGGAAAGTCATGTAAGTCTTGTAAACAGTAACAGTCTGAAAACAGACTGTCTTCAAAATCTTCATTGTCTCTTCCAAAGCATGTGACCATTCATGTTTCATTTTCATTTTATCTTCACAGGGTGAATTTAAAATTTGAAAGAAAGAGCAACAAAACCCCAACAGTTGCACCCTTTGTCCATTTACCTCTACTTGGTTGGCCAAAACATGCATCAGGTGGACCTGCTTCTCATCCTGGATGCTTACTCGGAACACCTTCTCCCTGGGAGGTGAGGAAGAGAAGGAAACAGACAGAAACAGAAAAGAGAGAATTTCAAGTGTGAAACTCCCCTAAATTGGGCAAAGCAAGGCAGAAGGACTTACTCATGGTAGATATTCCAGGCTTACCCCTCAAAGTGTTCACCAGAATGGTGAGCAGAGGCTAGGCCTACACTAATGAGAATCAGTAAGGTCAACATCGTGCTTCAACCAACACTGATGAATGGGTCTCACCTGCTTATATATCCAGCCCATTACTTCCCTTTCTCGCCTTGACAAGAGATTGGCACAGTGGAATCATGATTAATGGACTTGCTGGCCTTGCTGCTGCATGAAACTGTGTAGTCCGACTGGGTATCTTTCTCAACACCTGTGGTCACAGAACAAATAGTCTCAGGTTCAGCCCAGGTATTTTATTAGGGGCCTAGGACTTGAATGTTTTAGAGCTAAAAATCAATGAGTTTTAAATGTAGGAGGATTCTTTCCAAATGACTACACTTCTCATTTTTAAAAACAAGTTTCAGTCGTGTCCATATACTTCGACCGTATTTAAAATACAAAATAAATTGGGGTCCCAATGACCAGCAGAGAACTTTCCAAATTCTGCCATTTTAAGCTTGTTTTCATGAGGATAGTGCTATCCCACGTGGAATTAAATGAACTGTAATGGAATGAGAAGTGTTTTTCAGAAATGAATTAATAAGGTGCAATAAGATTTTCTGTTATGATCTCCATGGATAAAATCTAAAGTTGAGTGCATTTTTCAGTTTTGTTATTTCAATATGTATTTTGATTCCTGTCATTAAGAATTTCCCACTGTTGTTCTCATTGAATGTTTCAATGTGGCAAGGAGATGGCTCAAAGTTTTCTATGTCTATGCCAGTGTGATGGACCTCTGGAGTAGAACCTACAAGGCTGGAAAAGTTTTAAGTAGGAGCACTGTGATGGACCAGATGTCTGAAGACGAAGACGGGAGAAACTCATCAGGTGTTGGCTGCGGGCAAAGGCTTTTTTTTTTCAGCCACAGCAACTCTTAAAGGTCAACTGCTATGTTTCAGATGATTGAGATTTGCAGCATTAGAGGGACTACTGATGAAATTAGAGAGCCTTGAAGTACTCAAATGAATTATCATCAAGGATGACAATTTATAGGATTGCACTTGAAATGGAGAGATGGAAAGATCTTGAGTTGCCAGGGAGAGTGCTTTATGAATGTGTTTTTCTGAAATTTGTAATCCATAAAGTGGAAAGAAAAAGACAATTCTCCCCCTTGTGCCTAGGAGGGCAACAGCAATACATTCTTTTTGATGGGAATCTGCCTACCTGCTCCCTTGCCCTCCCCAGAATCTCACTTTGAGTCTTCCCTAAAGAAGAATACTTCTCTACAGCATCGGTCACCCTCCCTCCTCCAAGCTTACCCTCAACACCTAGCTGCCTACTAAAGGGCTGTCTTCTGTGTAATTTTTTTCAGCCAAAGACAAAGTTTATTAGAACATCCATCATATTGGGCAGACTGTTAAGGAGTCTGAACTAAATTAGTAAGTTATTGGCTAGATTATAAGAATCTGAGCAGTGGCTAGATTTTAAGAATCTGAGCCCTTCTGTATAATTTAAAGTGGATAAAAAGCAGTCAATATGTTGGGGGCCAAAGACTTGTCTGCCATGCTCCCTTACTTAGTGGCCCCTCTGAGCTTCAGTATAATTGTATCTTGATTCCTACTGAGGTGGAAAGTTTGGAGGCTACAAAAGCCAGCACAGATTTAGGCAGACTTGCTCTCTTTACTTCAGACTAAGACTGTTAAGATTTATACAGACAGTAGAGATTTATTAGGATAAAATGTACCAGAGTTGTGATGTATGATATATTTCAGTAATCTTTGATTTGTGGATATAAATAAAGCGCCTGGCACTTGATTTATTGTAGTAGAAGTACTAGTTGGTAGCATTCATGCTAAATATTGGCTTGCTTTTTTTTTTTTTTGATTGAAGACCTTTGATAAGCCTACCTTTTATGTTTGCTTTCCAGTCCATGGGAATAGGGGTCAAGGAACTATTTGTCAGGAAATATTATATCACTTTGCTAATGAGGTCAAAGTTAAGGATTTATTTTTTTCTGTAGGCTGGTTGGTTTGTGACCAACCTTAGCCAGCCATTTGGCAATTTTCTGATTGTTCAAAGGAGAACCAGTGAGAAAATATGGATAATAACTAACATTTATAAAGTACTTTAAGGTTTACAAAGTGCCTTTCTTGTTATCTCATTTTTTTCCCCTCATAACAACCTTAAGAGGTTGATGGTAATATTATCCCCATTTTACAGATAAGGAAGCCAAGGCAAGAGGCTGACTGACTTGCTCAAAGTCCCACAGTTAGTTTCTGAGGTTAGTTAGGCATATATTATATTGGCAGCAAGGTGGCACAGTGGATAGAACTCTGGACCTGGAGTCAGCAAGACCTTAGTTTGAATCTGGCCTAGCTGTGTAACCCCGGGCAAATCATTTAACCCTGTTTGCCTCCGTTCCCTTATCTGTAAAATGAGCTGGAGAAGGAAATGGCCAACCACTCTAGTATCTTTGTTAAGAAAACCCCAAATGGGGTCACAAAGAGTCAGAGATGACTGAAAGGACTGAATAAAAACAACAACAAATATATTCCTAGAAGAATAGGAATGGTCCCTCTGGGACTTCTGTTTTCCTTTTCTGCTTTGCTCTGAGTGACTCTATTATCAAAATAGGCTGCTGGCCATAGTAGGGTGATTCTTTCAATCTGAGCATTCTGTATCTAGATCAGACCTCATCTCATATAGTACCCAAATGTCCTTCCTCACCATCTTGCCATATGCTCTGCTTTCCATACACGTATTCCTTCTTCCTTTCCACTTTTTGACCTGGCACAGTAATTAAATCAATAATACTGTTATTTCTTAAAGGGGTATATCAACTGAGTGCCCTATGGATCAACTCATCATCCCTTTGGCTCCTCAGATCAAATCCCTCTTGACTGACCATTCTTCCCATGTATGTGTTGTGTCTTATTATTAGAGTGTAAGCTTCTTCTGAACTGCCTCATTTTTGTATTTGGAAACCTAGCCCCATATCTTATCTATCTATCTATCTATCTATCTATCTATCTATCTATCTATCTATCTATCTATCTATCTATCTATATCTATCTATATTTATGTGTGTGTGTATAGTAAGTGCTTAAGAAATGCTTTTTCATTCATTCATTCATTCATTCATTCATTCATTCATTCATTAATTCATTCTTTGACCCTCTTAAAGTATATAACCAGTCATGAGATTGTCACATAAAGGTGTGAACTGTTTAATGGTTTTTCTTACATAATTAAATTGTTTTTCATAATGGTTGCATCTTTTCACAATTCCACCAACAATGTTCCTATCTGTCTAAAGCTTCCCTAATATAAAGTATTTCTAACTTTTAGCATCTTTACCAATCCAATATGTAAGAGGTGAACCATCAGATGTTAATCAGCATTCTTTTTATTATTAGTGATTTGGAGCATTTTTCATTTAGTTGTTGATAGTGTTAATTTCTTCCCTTAAAAACTATTTGTCCGTATCTCGCACACTTATTTTTTGGAAAACGACTCGGTCCTATTTTTGTGTCAATTTCCTACAGATCTTGGATATCAACTTTTTGCTTTCCTTTTCAGAATAAAAATATCCTATTCAGTGCAGTTGAAGAGACAAGTTTCTAAGAGGTGAGCCATTTCTCAGAGTAATTTGACTTTGGCCATGTTTATACCATGATACCTGAACTGGGTATTCTAGTGTGGTCAATTGAGATCACTGATGTAGAACTACAAGAAACCTCAGCAAGTATCTAGCTGAAACCCCCCCGCCCCGCCCCCTCCCATTTTATTTTACTTTTTTGAACCAATCAGTTTCTTGACTGAACCAGCATAAACTAGATACTTTTGAATGATTGCCCAGCACTCCGACATTCCTCTCCAGCAAAATAAGTCTGGTAAATTTCATCATAATGCAACTACATTGTGTCATGGCGAACGTAGCTAACAGACTTTGATACTCTTTCCTTCTTTTTATGGGCACGAGAAGGGAGGCTATGAAACACATCCTTGGCTGCCAACTTCTTTTCACATTTAAGGGTTTCAGTATGCTTTTTTTCATCATCATTAGTGGTGATAGCCTACATATCTCTGGGAATGGTAGGAATGCTGTTCATTACTGGACTGAGAGACATTATTTTTGAAAGCCAAGAGATAAACATGACTACTCTTTCTCATAAATCTTAATTTCTGACTCAACAACTTTAGGTTCCTTATTGAAACCAGGAAAGCATCTTTAATCATGCAAATATTTGGAAATTCCAAGTGTATATCTACTTGGAACTTGCAACATAATTAAAACAGGCAAGCTGTGATTGATTAACTTGGGAACAATGGGTTAGCTAAAAGGCAATTGGTTCTTTTTCTGTCCTTACAGCAATGGTCCACCAACAAGCATGAAAGAAACAACATCAGTCGTCTTATAAAGCAGGACAAAAAAGAGTGAAGGCGGCAAGTAAATCTAAATGCCCATTGCAAGTTGGTTTAAGTTATTTTTTATAGGCTGGCTTATTTTTTCATTTTTGTCTCGTGTGTTTTTCTTTTCCTTCCTTCTTCCTTCCTCCCCTCCCTTCCTTCTTTCCCTCATTCATTGCCATTTCTTTCTTCCTTCCTGTCCCTTCTTTTCTTCCCTCCTTCTTCTCCCTCCCTCCTTCCTTCCTTCCTTCTTTTCCTCCTTCCTTGCACTTCCTTCCCTCCTTATTTTCTCTCTCTCCTTTCCTTCCTTCCTTCCATTCTTCCTTCTCTCCTCCTTTCCTTTCCTTTCCTTTCCTTTCCTTTCCTTTCCTTTCCTTTCCTTTCCTTTCCTTTCCTTTCCTTTCCTTTCCTTTCCTTTCCTTTCCTTTCCTTTCCTTTCCTTTCCTTTTCCTTTTCCTTTTCCTTTCCTCATTCATGGACTTCCCACCTCTTCAAAAGGAGCTGGATAAGCATCTTCTCATGTCTCTTCTTTGGGGCCATGCTTGTTCTTTGTATTGTGTTTTTCTAATCTTTTGTTGTTCAGTCATTTTTTTTTCAGTTGTGTCCAACTCTCCATGATTCTATTTGGGGTTTTCTTTTCAGAGATACTGGAGTGGTTTGCCGTTTCCTTCTCCAGCTCATTTTGTAGATG